GTCTTTATGTGGGTGAGTTGTCTTTATGTGGGTGAGTTGTCTTTATGTGGGTGAGTTGTCTTTATGTGGGTGAGTTGTCTTTATGTGGGTGAGTTGTATTTATGTGGGTGAGTTGTCTTTATGTGGGTGAGTTGTCTTTATGTGGGTGAGTTGTATTTGTCTTTATGTGAGTGAGTTGTATTTGTCTTAATGTGAGTGAGTTGTAGTTGTCTTTATGTGGGTGAGTTGTATTTGTCTTTATGTGGGTGAGTTGTATTTGTCTTAATGTGAGTGAGTTGTAGTTGTCTTTATGTGAGTGAGTTGTATTTGTGTGGGTGAGTTGTATTTGTCTTTATGTGGGTGAGTTGTAGTTGTCTTTATGTGGGTGAGTTGTAGTTGTCTTTATGTGAGTGAGTTGTATTTATGTGAGTGAGTTGTATTTGTCTTTATGTGGGTGAGTTGTATTTGTGTGGGTGAGTTGTATTTGTCTTTATGTGGGTGAGTTGTATTTGTGTGGGCGAGTTGTATTTGTCTTTATGTGGGTGAGTTGTATTTGTGTGGGTGAGTTGTAGTTGTCTTTATGTGAGTGAGTTGTAGTTGTCTTTATGTGAGTGAGTTGTAGTTGTCTTTATGTGAGTGAGTTGTAGTTGTCTTTATGTGGGTGAGTTGTCTTTATGTGGGTGAGTTGTATTTGTCTTTATGTGAGTGAGTTGTATTTGTCTTTATGTGAGTGAGTTGTCTTTATGTAGGTGAGTTGTAGTTGTCTTTATGTGAGTGAGTTGTATTTATGTGAGTGAGTTGTATTTGTCTTTATGTGGGTGAGTTGTATTTGTGTGGGTGAGTTGTAGTTGTCTTTATGTGAGTGAGTTGTATTTATGTGAGTGAGTTGTATTTGTCTTTATGTGGGTGAGTTGTATTTGTGTGGGTGAGTTGTAGTTGTCTTTATGTGAGTGAGTTGTAGTTGTCTTTATGTGAGTGAGTTGTATTTGTCTTTATGTGAGTGAGTTGTCTTTATGTGGGTGAGTTGTAGTTGTCTTTATGTGAGTGAGTTGTATTTGTCTTTATGTGAGTGAGTTGTCTTTATGTGGGTGAGTTGTAGTTGTCTTTATGTGGGTGAGTTGTAGTTGTCTTTATGTGAGTGAGTTGTAGTTGTCTTTATGTGAGTGAGTTGTCTTTATGTGGGTGAGTTGTAGTTGTCTTTATGTGAGTGAGTTGTATTTGTCTTTATGTGAGTGAGTTGTCTTTATGTGGGTGAGTTGTAGTTGTCTTTATGTGAGTGAGTTGTAGTTGTCTTTATGTGAGTGAGTTGTCTTTATGTGAGTGAGTTGTAGTTGTCTTTATGTGAGTGAGTTGTATTTGTCTTTATGTGGGTGAGTTGTCTTTATGTGAGTGAGTTGTATTTGTCTTTATGTGGGTGAGTTGTAGTTGTCTTTATGTGAGTGAGTTGTATGTGTCTTTATGTGGGTGAGTTGTCTTTATGTGGGTGAGTTGTATTTGTCTTTATGTGAGTGAGTTGTAGTTGTCTTTATGTGAGTGAGTTGTATTTGTCTTTATGTGAGTGAGTTGTATTTGTCTTTATGTGGGTGAGTTGTATTTGTCTTTATGTGGGTGAGTTGTATTTGTCTTTATGTGGGTGAGTTGTATTTGTCTTTATGTGGGTGAGTTGTAGTTGTCTTTATGTGGGTGAGTTGTAGTTGTCTTTATGTGGGTGAGTTGTCTTTATGTGGGTGAGTTGTCTTTATGTGGGTGAGTTGTCTTTATGTGGGTGAGTTGTATTTGTCTTTATGTGAGTGAGTTGTATTTGTCTTTATGTGAGTGAGTTGTATTTGTCTTTATGTGGGTGAGTTGTATTTGTCTTTATGTGAGTGAGTTGTAGTTGTCTTTATGTGGGTGAGTTGTATTTGTCTTTATGTGAGTGAGTTGTATTTGTCTTTATGTGAGTGAGTTGTATTTGTCTTTATGTGGGTGAGTTGTAGTTGTCTTTATGTGAGTGAGTTGTATTTGTCTTTATGTGGGTGAGTTGTAGTTGTCTTTATGTGAGTGAGTTGTATTTGTCTTTATGTGAGTGAGTTGTATTTGTCTTTATGTGAGTGAGTTGTATTTGTCTTTATGTGAGTGAGTTGTATTTGTCTTTATGTGGGTGAGTTGTAGTTGTCTTTATGTGAGTGAGTTGTAGTTGTCTTTATGTGAGGGAGTTGTAGTTGTGTGTATGTGAGTGAGTTGTCTTTATGTGTGTGAGTTGTATTTGTCTGTATGTGGGTGAGTTGTAGTTGTCTTTATGTGAGTGAGTTGTAGTTGTCTTTATGTGAGTGAGTTGTAGTTGTCTTTATGTGAGGTAGTTGTCTTTATGTGAGTGAGTTGTATTTGTCTTTATGTGGGTGAGTTGTATTTGTCTTTATGTGGGTGAGTTGTAGTTGTCTTTATGTGAGTGAGTTGTCTTTATGTGAGTGAGTTGTATTTGTCTTTATGTGAGTGAGTTGTAGTTGTCTTTATGTGAGTGAGTTGTATTTATGTGGGTGAGTTGTATTTGTCTTTATGTGAGTGAGTTGTATTTATGTGGGTGAGTTGTATTGTCTTTATGTGAGTGAGTTGTAGTTGTCTTTATGTGGGTGAGTTGTCTTTATGTGGGTGAGTTGTCTTTATGTGGGTGAGTTGTAGTTGTCTTTATGTGAGTGAGTTGTATTTGTCTTAATGTGAGTGAGTTGTATTTGTCTTTATGTGAGTGAGTTGTAGTTGTCTTAATGTGAGTGAGTTGTATTTGTCTTTATGTGAGTGAGTTGTAGTTGTCTTTATGTGGGTGAGTTGTATTTGTCTTAATGTGAGTGAGTTGTATTTGTCTTCATGTGAGTGAGTTGTAGTTGTCTTTATGTGAGTGAGTTGTATTTGTCTTAATGTGAGTGAGTTGTATTTGTCTTTATGTGAGTGAGTTGTATTTGTCTTAATGTGAGTGAGTTGTATTTGTCTTAATGTGAGTGAGTTGTATTTGTCTTTATGTGAGTGAGTTGTATTTGTCTTCATGTGAGTGAGTTGTAGTTGTCTTAATGTGAGTGAGTTGTATTTGTCTTAATGTGAGTGAGTTGTATTTGTCTTAATGTGAGTGAGTTGTATTTGTCTTTATGTGAGTGAGTTGTATTTGTCTTAATGTGAGTGAGTTGTATTTGTCTTAATGTGAGTGAGTTGTATTTGTCTTTATGTGAGTGAGTTGTATTTGTCTTAATGTGAGTGAGTTGTATTTGTCTTCATGTGAGTGAGTTGTAGTTGTCTTTATGTGAGTGAGTTGTATTTGTCTTAATGTGAGTGAGTTGTATTTGTCTTTATGTGAGTGAGTTGTATTTGTCTTAATGTGAGTGAGTTGTATTTGTCTTAATGTGAGTGAGTTGTATTTGTCTTTATGTGAGTGAGTTGTATTTGTCTTCATGTGAGTGAGTTGTAGTTGTCTTAATGTGAGTGAGTTGTAGTTGTCTTAATGTGAGTGAGTTGTATTTGTCTTAATGTGAGTGAGTTGTATTTGTCTTCATGTGAGTGAGTTGTAGTTGTCTTTATGTGAGTGAGTTGTAGTTGTCTTTATGTGAGTGAGTTGTATTTGTCTTAATGTGAGTGAGTTGTATTTGTCTTCATGTGAGTGAGTTGTAGTTGTCTTTATGTGAGTGAGTTGTATTTGTCTTCATGTGAGTGAGTTGTATTTGTCTTCATGTGAGTGAGTTGTATTTGTCTTTATGTGAGTGAGTTGTATTTGTCTTCATGTGAGTGAGTTGTATTTGTCTTTATGTGAGTGAGTTGTGTTTGTCTTGATGTGAGTGAGTTGTGTTTGTCTTGATGTGAGTGAGTTGTGTTTGTCCTCATCTGGTCTGACTAGGTAGTAGAGACATCACTTATTGTGTGTTTGTCCTCATCTGGTCTGACTGTGCAGTAGAGACATCACTTATTGTGTGTTTGTCCTCATCTGGTCTGACTGTGCAGTAGAGGCATCACTTATTGTGTGTTTGTCCTCATCTGGTCTGACTGTGCAGTAGAGACATCACTTATTGTGTGTTTGTCCTCATCTGGTCTGACTGTGCAGTAGAGACATCACTTATTGTGCCAATAACATTAACTAAGAACCACGTGATGAAGACATTATATTCTGTCCCTCCAGAAACCATCGGCCACCAGCTCCAGGTCGTCCAGCATGAGTGTGTCCATTGACTGTGCTATCGAGGAAGCCTTTGAGTTCCTCAACACTGAGGAAGGACTAGGAGACTTGGATGAGAATGATGAAGTGGAACGTGAGCAAGAAAACGTACAAGTCAAGTAAGTTATCTCACAAGTCAAGTAAGTTATCTCACAAGTCAAGTAAGTTATCTCACAAGTCAAGTAAGTTATCTCACAAGTCAAGTAAGTTATCTCACAAGTCAAGTAGGTTATCTCACAAGTCAAGTAAGTTATCTCACAAGTCAAGTAAGTTATCTCACAAGTCAAGTAAGTTATCTCACAAGTCAAGTAGGTTATCTCACAAGTCAAGTAGGTTATCTCACAAGTCAAGTAGGTTATCTCACAAGTCAAGTTTGTTATCATATGAGTCAAGTTTGTTATCTGGCCAATGTTGTAAAAACTCTTATATATTCAAATCTAACAAAGTCAGCAAACACCTTGCATCAAATCATCAAACACCTTGTATCAAATCATCAAACACCTTGTATCAAATCATCAAACACCTTGTATCAAATCATCAAACACCTTGTATCAAATCATCAAACACCTTGTATCAAATCATCAAACAATGACCTTAAAATTACATTATAATCATTGGTAAGTAAAATCCATGCACATCAGACCATTTTCATCTCAGCTTCTCAGATTATCCAATTTACCCAATCTAGAACAAACAGACCATTTTTATCTCTGTTTCTCAGGTCATCCAATTTACCCCTTTTTAGAACAAATAGACCATTGTTGTCTCATTTTCTCAGATCATCCAATTTACCCAATCTAGAATAAACATATCCTTTTCGTCTTTCTTTCTCAGATCATCCAATTTACCCAATCTAGAACAAATTATGTTAAGTCCTGACTCCACTGCAAAGACGGGAGATTCTGGTATTGAGTCTTTAGCCAGGCGTCTACAAGAGGACACACAGCTGGGGTCAAGTATGGGATCCAGTCCGGTCCCGCCCTCTAGTGGCAATGAACAAGTAGACCAAGCTTTGGTCTTTCACCTGAGTTACTGTGACAAACTACTTGAGGTGAGCTCCATCTCTTTGATCTTTCTCTGTCCATAAGATTTTATTTAAGTCATTTCTTGACCCCCTGGTTCAGCGGTTTGAATGACTCTTACACAAGGGTCCCCTAGGACCATCAGAAAACACATATTTATGTGAAGCAACAAAAATAATTTGATGGAGGGGGTTCACCACAACATGAATTGTATTCAAGGGTCTTGCATTAGGTAGGTTGAGAACTACTGCTCTAGTTGGTGGCATCCTTTTGCCCATGTTAGTGTCAGCCTTTGGCAGTATTAGTGTCAGCCTTTGGCAGTATTAGTGGCATCCTTTTGCCCATATTAGTGTCATCCTTTGGCAGTATTAGTGTCAGCCTTTGGCAGTATTAGTGTCAGCCTTTGGCAGTATTAGTGTCATCCTTTGGCAGTATTAGTGTCATCCTTTGGCAGTATTAGTGTCAGCCTTTGGCAGTATTAGTGTCATCCTTTGGCAGTATTAGTGTCATCCTTTGGCAGTATTAGTGTCAGCCTTTGGCAGTATTAGTGTCATCCTTTGGCAGTATTAGTGTCATCCTTTGGCAGTATTAGTGTCAGCCTTTGGCAGTATTAGTGTCATCCTTTGGCAGTATTAGTGTCATCCTTTGGCAGTATTAGTGTCAGCCTTTGGCAGTATTAGTGTCATCCTTTGGCAGTATTAGTGTCAGCCTTTGGCAGTATTAGTTCATTTTGCAAATGATTTGAATTACTTTCTTAGAATCGTTGGACTTTTATAATCCTGATCAAACTTTCTTTCAGAATTTAGGAAATTATGGGCCCTTGAAGTGTCGGGAATTCTATGCATTGGACCGTCTTCAAAAACAGGCCGTTATTTTAGACAAACTCGTGGAGATGGCCAGAGCAGGGCAAGATGTTGACCTACATGCTGGTAAGTTTGAACCATATTATTAGGCACTTCCGAGCTTTATCTTTATGCTAAATATCTTTAAATAACTTTTACCGATTTGGGAAAAAAAATGATTTGAAGGTTTTCAGCTGGCATGGCAACGTTCTCCTCATGTTTCAACATGTCTCTTGACTTGATACAAATGGATGGATCTGATTGAAAACAAAACATTCACTGCCATCACTCGTGTTCAAGACAAAACATTCACAATAAAACCTTTCAGTTCAAAATTTTCATCACTTGTGTTCCAGTGCTATTAGAAGAAACGAGTGACAAGACACTGAGAGAATTGTGGGTATTGTGTGTTGACCAGACGCCACTCTACGTCCACCCAGAAAAAATCATCTCTGTCCTTGAGAGCAAATTTGGTCCCAAGATGGCTGAACATTTTGACATCAAGCCAACCAGAGGTTAATACTTGCACATTTCTTTTTTGTTGACCATTTCCCTAATCTCAGAAATGTTTTATAAAACAGAATTTTATTAAAGGTGAAAAATTTCATAAAAGATTTTTTTGGTCATCTTAAGAATTGCTTTGAAAAGATTACTCGAGAGCCTCTAATCATAAATATTTGTATTTCCTCCAGTTTTCCACCAGCTGATGTCTCGTGTCTTAGACGTTCCGGCCTACGTCCCCGATGTCGGAAAGACTTCAATCATAACACTGCATCAGTTTATGATGTACTTCAAAGATGGTGAAGGTCTGGCCAAGATGGAAGGAATAGCACAGGAATGTAAGTACAAAATGGCTCTGTAAGATTTGAGGCATATCTATGTTAACTGTGAGTACACATTGTCTGATCAGGACAAATTGCTGTTTAAGATCAGATGTATTTCTATGTTAAATGAAAACAATTATTTTTCTTCATTATTCTATTATTGTCTTTTGTTTGTTCAGATATAAGGTGGATTACTTGTGCTTTCAAAAGTAAGATTAAAGGATGAAATCAATCCTTTTTTGTAGAACTTTTATAAAGGAACAGATTTTTAGGCTTTTGCAGAATTGTAATTGAAAGTTAGTGTTATGATTGACTAAGGCTGGCAAGTTAGTGTTATGATTGGCTAAGGCTGGCAAGTTAGGGTTATGATTGACTAAGGCTGGCAAGTTAGTGTTATGATTGGCTAAGGCTGGCAAGTTAGTGTTATGATTGATTAAGGCTGGCAAGTTAGTGTTATGATTGCCTAAGTCTGGCACGTTAGTGTTATGATTGATTAAGGCTGGCAAGTTAGTGTTATGATTGGCTAAGGCTGGCACGTTAGTGTTATGATTGATTAAGGCTTGCAAGTTAGTGTTATGATTGGCTAAGGCTGGCAAGTTAGTGTTATGATTGGCTAAGGCTGGCAAGTTAGTGTTATGATTGACTAAGGCTGGCAAGTTAGTGTTATTGAAAAACAATTGATCCAAGAAAAGTTTAGTGATAAAATATTTTATTATTACAGCGTTTGTTTAAAGAAACTTATTGTAATTCCAAGAAAATAATACATCAGTTATTTGAAACCGCGGTGACCATATGATTTTAAGAAGACTTTCCTAATCGTAGTTGATTATTTCAGTACGCCTCATGGATCGGCTAAGCTCAGGCTCAGTTGACACTGTCATCAAAGCCATTCTTACCTTGAGAGAGGAGTTACCTGGCCCGGCCTGCCTGAAAGGGATGTGCAAGATCCTGGCCGGTGGCAACAGAGAAACACAACAATCCGCCAACTCCTATCTTAGAATAATTCACAGAGACAAGACAAAGAGAGATAAGGCAAGGAAATCAACGTTTCTTTTAGAAGTCTATATGAAGCATTTATTGATTTGTTCATGCTTGTCCCAAGTCATTACTGGAAAGTAGATGACAACTATGACAGCTGTCAACATGTCAATTTTGGTCCTGAATTTCATTATATAGCATGATGTAGTATTATAACATTAGATCTCCCATGTAGTTTTATAACATTAGATCTCCCATGTAGTTTTATAACATTAGACCTCCCATCACAAACTTATTAATTAATTACCTGTGGCCAAAATGCTGCATGATAAATTGTTTTAAAAGAAGCCATCTAAAGTTGTGATATTAATATCTTTTTTTTTTGTGTGTGTCAACACTCTCAGCCTGTTGTATAGATATCTAGTTAACAGGAAATGTTGGATACATTCAACTATGGAAGTGACCCACGGGTATCAGGTATACAACAAGCTAAGAGTATTTGCCTTTGTCTTGAACTGTCTTTAGCGTCGAAGACTTTTTGGACAAAACTGTCACTTTCTGTTATTCTCTTTTTGATGTTTTCCCCTACCCATTGTAAATTGATCATTTCATAATCTAAGCACCTGCTGGTGAGTCGATGTCTATACCTGTCAATGACAAGACTGCGATAATGCCTTCTGCACTTAACCAAACTTAATTCTTCAATATCTTTAGCAGAATGCTAGCAAGAAAGACCACGGGACATCAGATTTTATTATTAGTCACCTATTTTTAGAAATGGCATCCCCCCCCCCCCCCCCCCTTTTTTTTTTTTTCCAAATTTAAAAAAGGCTATCATTCCCATGGTATTTTGAGGGGCCCTCAATGCTTGAATGTTAAAACACTCTTAGTGGCTTAATAGTAAATAGAAGGGTCTTCTGTTATATGGTGGAGATCCCTAAGTTGTGCCGCACATTGACACCTTAGAGATGTTTAAGTTGTGCCACACACTACCTCTCTGCATAACCAGTAGGTCTTTTCATTTGCAGTTTTGCTCTCCCTCTAGGTACTCTCAAACCAATTAACAAATTCTTGGTTTCTTCTCCAGTTTAAAACAATATTCTGAAGAAGCTTGTCAGTTTTCTCTGTCCCCATGTGTTGACTTGTGATATTTAAACAGAGCAAAGCTCATGATCCAAGGCCCATTTCTCAAAACTATTGATGAGCTAGGGGTTGGGGGAGGGGCGATGACGACACAAATATTGACATGGCCACAAACTTGAGATGTTTGATTGGTCAATTTTGAATTTTTTTCCCCCCAGATGTTTGGTTAATTTTGAGTTTGTTTCTTCTGAGCATTCTTTGTAAGGGACACAACTCATTTTGGAATGTTGATTTGGTCAACAATTAAAGGTTGAGGAATGTCAAACATAAAGTCCTTTCATGAATAAGGGATATTCTTCATGGTTAATTTCTCTAGACAGTAAACCTAGTATTATGAGCATAAATTGTCCTGAAAACTTGTGTAATTCGAATTGTTATGAAAACTTGTGTAATTCAAAGCACTTGTATATACAAAGCAAATGTCCCTATAAGAAATAATTTCTACTGAATGTGCACACTACAGTAACAGTGATTGATAGGTGCCCTGAATGAGCACACTACAATAACAGTGATTGCTAGGTGCCCTGAATGAGCACACTACAGTAACAGTGATTGCTAGGTGCTCTCAATGAGCACACTACAGTAACAGTGATTGCTAGGTGCCCTGAATGAGCACACTACAGTAACAGTGATGGCTAGGTGCCCTGAATGAGCACACTACAGTAACAGTGATTGCTAGGTGCTCTCAATGAGCACACTACAGTAACAGTGATTGCTAGGTGCCCTGAATGAGCACACTACAATAACAGTGATGGCTAGGTGCCCTGAATGAGCACACTACAGTAACAGTGATGGCTAGGTGCCCTGAATGAGCACACTACAGTAACAGTGATTGTTAGGTGTCCTGAATGAGCACACTACAGTAACAGTGATTGCTAGGTGCTCTGAATGAGCACACTACAGTAACAGTGATTGCTAGGTGCTCTGAATGAGCACACTACAGTAACAGTGATGGCAAGGAATACATTTCTCAAAAAGGCTTGTCTTTCAAAGGAATACATTTCTCAAAAAGGCTTGTCTTTCAAAGGAATACATCTCTCAAAAAGGCTTGTCTTTCAAAGGAATACATCTCTCGCCCTGGTTAGGTTTTTACTTTTCTACAAAGTTGTGGACCATTTCCCTTCTTTTCTAATATTTGATATTCCATATCTTCCTATTGTCATTTGAAGTTAGGCGTCCTTCTGTCTTTTTCTCCTCATAAGCTCTTGCTGTTTCTCGTGATGCAGATCCCTTCATATTACTCATTGACAATGCTTCTTACATATTACTCATTGACAATGCTTCTTTATCCGGTTAAAATGTCAAAAACAATGTCAAGATCAACACTCACATAGTTAATTACAATGTCAAGGTCAACACTCACAGGACAAATCAATTACAATGTCAAGGTCAACACTCTCAGACCAAATCAATTACAATGTCAAGGTCAACACTAACATACCAAATCAATTACAATGTCAAGGTCAACACTAACATACCAAATCAATTGCAATGTCAAGGATTTCAACAAGGATTCGTACAAGAAGTGTTCACTATGCAGTTCTTTATATCTGACCCGTTTTAATAAGTGTTGAATGTCCATGATTTTAAAGCTGCAATTTTCTTTTGTTTCCATCAGGCCATGGTTGTGTTGGTGGAAGGTCTGGAGGACCATATAGCAGAAGTCAGAGCCGGCTGTTGTGCTGCTCTTGCAATAATTGAAGTAAGAAATTCAACCAATAAGATTAGATGCTGAAGATTTCTCATCTCCCAACACTTAAATGGCATGCATCCTGTCAATTGGGTGCATTGCAAGAGAAATTTTTTTTTTACATGATTCAAGTATGTAATGTTTAAAATTATTTTAAAATAAACTCATCATTTGCGGGTTTTTTTTTCAGGCGGAGGAAAGCATTGATCAGCTGGTTCATGTGAGCCAATCAGATTCCTCATCCACCGTTCGCAGAAAAGCCAAGGAAGCTCTCTACTCTTTAGGTGAGTTGATCAGAAATAAACAAATGATCTGTCAAAATCCTAAATTTGGAGATAAAAATTATCCATGAATGAACAGTGTCGAAATATTTATGGATGGACATTGTTAAAATATCCATGGACAGTGTCAAATCAAATCGTGCTTGTTGCCATTAACTGTAGTTTAAACAATTTTTCAATTTTTTGTGTAAATATTGAATTTTAAATGTATATTTTTGAACAGGTCTTTTTTTAAATTTGTGTAGCTTTAGCATGGTTGATCAAGTTGATTTAAACATTTTGTTTTGCCTTACTGAATTTTAATTTTCTTTTAGGAGATGCCGGCAGGAAAGCCGTGGAAGAAGCTCAGCTCGGCACACAAGGTTTTCAGGGTCTACAGATGCGCAAGCTTTAAGGCACCCGTGCCGCACTCCGTGTAAAACTTAGTTTACATCATTCATCCACACATCCATCATGATACAAATATTTTGACATCTCTAGAATTGAAGTCGTGTTTCTTGGTTGACTGTTGCGATCCTGTGGACAAAATATATTTTTAATACCAAAAAGCATGCTCCTTAACCCTTGAACTGTGGCATGCATCATTCTGTTGTGTGGCAGCTTTTCAGAGCTTTTGGAGGGATTTTTGACATTGCATTAAATGACATAGAAATATTGATACAAGACCCCACTAAGAATATATTTTTAGAAAGGTAAATGGATGGGGATAAAGTTGGCTATATTTCCGACCCCGTAAAAAAATTTTTTGCTTGGTGTCCTTGACCTTGGAGTGTTCAAGAAAAAATTTGACAAAATATCTTGCTTTCAAGTGCTAATAAAATAATTTTTATAGATTCCATTAAAATGCTATTTCAATTGTGGTAGCCGATTCATTTATCTTTAAGAAAATGTATAGTTTGCTAAGGTTTTGATTACAATTAAACGTCTGAAAGCAATTTTAGTAATTTTAGGTCATTTGTATAAGAAACTACGGACTACTGCTAAAACCAAGCACAACATACAAAATCTCAGGCAAAATAGTTATTATTGACTAGTAAACATTTAAAAAAGGAACTGTGGAACGGATTTGAGTTGTATAACTATAAAATTTATTAGTTCTGTTGCTTCTGTGACTAAAATTCAGTACCTCTGGGCCTGGCTCAAAGTCTCAAAGTCTAACAGTACGCCTACTTCAGTGTTACGAAGACTAGTATCTGATTCACGAGAAGAAGAATCTGAACTGAGATCGTCATGGGGAATGTTAAAATCATCATCTGTATCACTTAAATCCTCTCCTAAAAAGCTTTCAAACATATTTCTATTAGTTCTTGCACTGAATGACCCCAGCCATAGCTTCAGCCATTTTAGCTTTAAAAAAAACCAGCGATATAAAATTCCGATGAAAAGGTACTTATTGTTAAGTTATCAACAAACAGCTTGACCCGGAAGTTGATTTAATTATAAAAGGAAGTGGTTATAATTCCGGTTAAATATTGGAATGGAAGTTGCAATTGGACTGTGTTTTTAATCAGCCAATTTTTTCGGCCGCCACCATACAGAACAAGAATATCTGCCGATTTTTCGGCCGACCACAGTTTGAGGGTTAACTGTCCAATATCCTCATTAGCATCAATATGAAGATGAAGTAGAGAGACACGGTGATGTTATTCTACATACCAAACGATGATGCCCTTAGAACAAATAGTTGAAGTTGTTTTTCTTGCTTGGATGAATGTTTCATGTTTGTTTGTTTTTTCATTGCCAGATGTTAAAAGTAGTCCATAGCTCTGAACAAGAAACAGTCTAGAAAAGAAGATACTCATTTTTATACTTGTACAAACTGCAGTGTTATTTCTATTTTTAGCTTTATTCAGCTCTATGATTACAGTTTTATTACCAATCTAGTCTTGCAATGTTGCATAGAATATTTTATTTTCTGTGGTTTAGTTTATAGATATAATAT